TTTCGACATAAGTAATACTTGATTTACAAATTATTAAATGTTAAGCTATTAAGTCATTGTTATTACGAAGGACATAATAGATGGGAAATGCTACCTACATTCAAAGATAATAAAACAGTATTTAGTTTAGATATTTATCTAGAAGTGTTAGCTTATTGCATGATCCGAGATGATTCTAACGTTATATTGTACCGCTATTAAAGACATTGTTTGCTCAAATTTTAGCGAAACTAACTGTCTAGAATTAATGAATAGTTTCTTTTTTTGTTTTACCCGTGCATGCACATCAGTAGAGTAAAGAATACCAGAATGGAAGAATGAACGTAAATGGCCTTGTAAGGCCCATCTTTGACATTTTATAAGATTATGTTGTGCCTTGTGCTGTTCTCCTTTCTAATGTTCGAAAAAGCAACAAGAAGGGTTAGCTTGACAAACTGCAAGACAAAATCATCTTTCAGACAGACCATTCTAGTGCCTGGAGAATCTCAAAATCTTTCTTTGCCATCATATGGCGGTTAGCAGAGTATTGTTTCTCGATGGGCGACTTTGTAACATGAACAGATTCACTATCATCTTTCGTAATGGAAAGATTATCGCATATATCTTCAGCGACACTTTGATCAAAATTCTAATACGGATATGCCGTTTGAGAATGAGTGATTGACTTTATATCAGCAGACGTTTTGTATTTCAAAAACTATTGTTAGAACTAGAGATGTGGAATTCGCCCTCTACCCGACCCGTACCCAGCCCGACATGAAGGTTGGGTGCGGATACGAAGTTGTCGGGTACGAGCTCCGTTCTTTTTAATTTATCCGAAAACTAGTAGGTTTAGTGGAAAACCGACAAAATTTTAGAGAAAAAATACAAGATTTTAGCTAAAATACATGAAGTTTTAAAAAAGAGTTACTTGAGAATGTAATGATAATTTGTCATCTCCAGCCGAAAAACAAAAGTTTTTAGCTAGAAAATGAAAAGGGGCCAATCAAAATCAGACAACTTAGCATTTAGCCAAATTAAAAAAAAAATTTTCTTGCAGAATAATTAATCGAGAAAACGTAAACTTTGTTAAAGTTTTTAGCGTTTGGCGCATAGTCTGAAAAGGATTAGAACGAGTCTAAGACGGAAAGTTTACATAAAATATCTCCCTATAAAGCTCTGCATTTCTTTTGTGGTCATTGAAAACCATCGGAAAAGATTTCACTCTACATTTCAATGTATTTTTTGTTGTTATTCACCATATCATATCATTCATCATAAAATTATATTCTTTAAAAGCACTAAAAATTAAAAATTAAACGTTTTTTTTCTTATCGTAGTAAGCAAACATTTCATTCAAATTTAGTCACGCCGTAAACGTTTTTCATCGAACAAAAAGAAACCCGAGTCCATTTTGTCCGAGTTCCCCAAGTCTTTTACTAGATGTCTCATGCATGCAGAATGGAAAACGATAATTTCTTTCAAAATTTACAACGAAGAAACCTTCTTACGCAATATCTCTCGATACAAAAATTCTTTTATTATACCTGAATGATAGAATTTTTCAAAAGTTTCAAAATGACGAGTATCGGAGTCAAAATACAGTGCACTCTGGTGCCCTTTTTATAACTTTTCAACAGAAAAAGATGAAGACTTGTGGTTTCCGCAGAAGGTTTCGAACAATTTTTTGATCAAAAATACCACCTGCAGATGGTGTACCTCATAAATCTTTCAAAAGCTTTTCTTAACAAAGAAAAACTTATCTGATATACGAAGTCATTTTGAATAGCTGCAGATATAAGTGGAAGAAGGAAAAAGGTACAAAGAAGTTCAAAATTGTCAAAACAAGGAATGTATTAGAAATGGTTGTATAAGGAATTGCTCAAATGTACGGTCGCTAAACTGTCGTTCATTCAATCATCGGTTCAATCATGATTTGCCGTCTCGGACCGTTGTCATCGCATCTAGCTTCTAGTTTTCTTTTTGAATTTAGCAACATTTAACGTTTTTTGTAGACAACAGAATGAGAAAAAAGGAAGTCCGTATCATCTAAAAGAGCGGTGGAAAATAAAAAACACTGAAACTTCATCTAGCACACATATTATCCTCAATTTGGATGAATCCTGAGAATAAGTTATGAGTTAAAGCATCGGAGTAAGGTTTCTTCATTTTTTTTTAAAACATGCGCTTGTTTTCTAAAAAAGAAAATATATACAGTCCAGTTCTTGCCTTGTTCAGTCAAGTAAAATCAAAATGTTTGTCTATGTCTATCTATAGTTCTGTTACGTTCATTCTTGTGTACAGTTTTCTATCATTGACAATGATCGTAAAGGTCGAAATATTTGATTCTTAACAGATAAAGTTAAAAAGAATGAAATTCTACACAGCTGCATTATTAGTTATTAAATTATTGAAAATAAAAATCTTATGGATATTTGGAAACATTGGAGAAAATCACGTTTTAATTCAAGTATTTCTCGGTTTTTAACATAAAAACGCGATTTTGACGATCATGAAAATTTTGTATTGAAAAACAATGCATGCTTCTACAAATTAATTTTCTTGCCGACAACTGATACATGCAACATGTTTCCCAGATTATCGCTAGCTCTTTTTTCTATTTTCTCATCGTTTTCTTGTATGTGCGCTCAATATTTTTTTACCTGCACCTAATTTGTTATATTTCATACAGAACGTGATTAAATATTTGCACAACAAAAAGACTGAATATTAAAAATAGACGACCATTGAAAACGAGAATGAAGACGTGTGAGTGAATACTTAACAAATCAAAGGGTATTGATAGATTTAACGCTGTCATTCCTAATAGTTTTTCTTTAAGCCCGATTCGAATTCAATCAACTATTTTAATGCCTGATTCTATAGATATATATTTCTTTTTCAAAACCAGCCGTGCTTTTACAACAAGAACTGATAAAATACTAGTAGAAAGACGAAATTTTCTAAAAAGAGAGAGAGACTCATGCCGAAAATTGACACAAAAGCCAGTTTATTATAAACAGGATATGCAACATAATGAGTACTGTAATCAGGATCTTGAAATAATGTTGTTGTTCTCAGTAGTTTATAAACGTAAATTTTGTGGGATACTCAAAAGTTCTGTCACTTTGAAAAAAAACATCATTCTTCAATCGTAACCTGGACCTCTACCAGATATAGCAAAAGTTTTGCGACATCTTATGTTTGTCGAATATTTCAGCCTAGGCACAATCTAGATTATTGAATTTTTTTTCAAAAGATGCACAATTTCATTTTCTACGAAACCGATATTGACTACATTTTGTAGTAATAAAATTCTAAATTTCTAGAGGTCAAACACTTCGATGAAATCAAGTTCAGCTATTTCCCACTGAATTTTGAAGTTCATGTTTAGTGGAATTTTGGAATTCCAGTAAATAAATATCGAGCTCATAAAATACGACTCATCAATAGAAAGTCCTTAAAAGTGTCTATTTAATTGCATATACTTAGATATTTTTTCACTTTGTCGATGGATCCAACATCAAATTTTTTTAAGGACTGACTCCTTTTAGTCCACAGTATTCCAGTTCATCTATTCGAAACATAATATCGTTTCTTTCTTTTAAAATTCATTGTTTGCAATAGAAGGCTTATCCGTTTCCCAACTGTTGCGAAAATAAGCGCTCGTAAGATGGCATACTTTTTTTAGATGAATTGGAGACAAATTACGGGCGTGTGACATTTTGAGATGTGGGATAAAACACATTGAATGAGTTTAACAGTCTCGCTGAAAATAGAAATCTTCTATTATGGGCAAGGGTTTTCCACATATTCAGTTAATTTTATTTTTAAGAAATTAATAGCAAAAAAAATGTATTGTTGGGTTATCATCCCCGATATAAACCTCCAGAAAACATGTGTAGTGACAAAACGGGTTAAAATCTTTTATGTACTTCGTTATCAGGATCAGCCACTTATAGTCAAGCGAAAACAGTATGCTTGCTACGCGATTAAATCATTCAGGGTCCATTCTCAATGAATGAAATCGGAATAATTTTTTATTTTTACAGCTTAAATTTAGATCCTAGTGTATATACTTAATATAAAGGCTCGGTAAACTTCTAAAATTACTCAGTTTCATTCGCTGAACACAAATCTATTGTTTTTCTCACAAAATAAAGTACATAGAGGAGAAAAATGCATTATTTCGAATATAAGTCATTTTCCGCCTTAGGGATGGCATACGTTGTTGATTCACTAGAAATTTTTCCTAAGCTTTTTTTGGGTCGGATGATACCTCATTCAACGCGTTAGCAATCAAAGAATTTTTGGTCAAAGAATCTGGATGCAGACGCAGAACTAGGGTATTACTTAATCAGAAATACTAGTTTTTCGGTGTATGCATTTTTTCGAAGTTTTGACCCTAGAAAAGCAAGATTCGGAATGACTCTCACCTTTCAACACTAAATCTCTGTTTGATCCTCTATCAAACATAATGTCAACCTACTCTGTCCAGCCCTTTTTATGACAAAATTACGACGATAATACTGAAAAGTACGAAAACTGATCACTTTTAATGAGCTCCAAAGTTCAGACGTCCGGCGGTCTGTACCGAAGGGCCTTCAGAAAGAATTTTTAATAGTTTTCTGAGGAACTCATATACGCTCTTTCAGAATCTGTGAGCAAAAACGAATTGTACAAAAACGAATATTGAACATTAAATACTAACGTACAGATGTAGTTGGCGTTAAGTCAAAATAGTGTGCAAATACTTACACTTCGCTCTTGGATTCTGGCCCGGTTCACTGTAAGCATAATTAAACGGTCTTGTTATGCTGTTTTCAACTGAAATCGAAGAGGTAGAAAGTATATCGGAGAAACGCGTTTTTCTCATGGACTGTCTCTTAAATATAATGGGTGGTTTTTCTAAACAAGTTTAAGATGATGTATTTAATAAACTTCGCGAAAAAAGACAATTCATATATGAACACATCGCAAGAAAAAACTTAAAACTTGAAAACTACATTGTTTACACCAGATTATTGTTTAGTATTTGGACATATAGCATGAATAATCTGTTGTTCACGTTCAGGTGTATTTACGTAAAAATAAGCTTTATTTTTAGAGGTTAGACGAGCGATGTTGTTGACTTTGACCCAATCAGTTCCATATGCTATTTGAGGAAGATCAACCAGCTGAAGATTCTTAAAACCCGATCTACGATTCCTATCCCAACGTTTATAGGCCTAAAATCAATAAAGACTGTATAAAATTTACTGAAGAATATATTTTATGAGAGGCAAGACTTACAATACAAAACGTTGGGTGATCAATATCAGCTTTCCACGTCACTAATAAGTGAATATTGTATTTAAGTAGTTTTTGTTCGAATTCCTGTAAGTAAACATGTGAACGTATATACATAATGCGTTCTCGTTTCAACAAACCCCTGGATATGTATCGCCGAAATCTCCAGTAACAGAATTGTTAATTAAATGGTGTCGATCCTGGAACCAACTTGGATACCGGTTTATTGTACGAATAGATGTAGCAGCGCCCCCTAGGCAAAATGTTTCAGTAATGATTAGTAGAAAGTAGGCATCTGTTCTCTTGCTATCACATACCACATTGTGCCAGAACACTAATTGGTTTACTAATGTTGAAACTTGACAGAATGGCTACATAGATTTCAGGTCCATTTTGTTTCCAACTCGACTGAATCCTATCTCGTCCACTTGACTGACCAAAACCAGGTAAATCAACTAAGATCAGGGAGCATCCCATTTTGTATAATGGTTCAACAGCTTTTATCCAACTTTTGAAAGAAAAATGTTATATTGATCCTATTATCGAAATCTGAGTGTTCTTATCTGTTTCCAACTGTTGCGAAAATAAGGGCTCGTAAGATGGCATACTTTTTTTAGATGAATTGGAGACAAATTACGGGCGTGTGACATTTTGAGATGTGAGATAAGACACATTGAATGAGTTTAACAGTCTCGCTGAAAATAGAAATCTTCTATTATGGGCAAGGGTTTCCTACATATTCAGTTAATTTTATTTTTAAGAAATTAATAGCAAAAAAAATGTATCGTTGAGTTATCATCCCCGATATAAACCTCCAGAAAACATGTGTAGTGACAAAACGGGTTAAAATCTTTTATGTACTTCGTTATCAGGATCAGCCACTTATAGTCAAGCGAAAACAGTATGCTTGCTACGCGATTAAATCATTCAGGGTCCATTCTCAATGAATGAAATCGGAATAATTTTTTATTTTTACAGGTTAAATTTAGATCCTAGTGTATATACTTGCACGTGTTGTGTTGTCGGAAAACAAAAGAGCGAATGGAAACAGACTAAAACCCATTTACAGTATTGTACCACAGGGTACATTAGAATGCCTCTAGGTATAAAATGTACACTCCATTGGAGGTATAAAAACTAAGCTTGTTGAACGGAGATTTAATACTAAAACTTTCAAAGCTACGAGAAAAGTTTAAAAGCTCTTTCATCGCAGAAGAACAACTAATTTTCGTCAATTTTAGCAGCATCTAACGAGGGAACATTCCCAAGTGAGACACTCCGATTTTGTCCAAACCTGGCAGTTTGTATGTAATCAAAGCTGCTGATTACGAATATGATAGCCGTTTATGCTCATAGACCTTTCCAAGCGTTTCTCTGGCGAACCGGTTTTCTAGAAATTCCCTGGAGCCCTAGCAATGTTTTATCAACACTTCTTTGCAAAGGTACAGAATTTATAAGAGAAGCCTTAAATTAATTTTCCTTTTTCTTTCTATATCTCTGAGCTGACGATGAATATTTAGGGCTTCTCTTGTAAATTCTGCAACTTTGCAAAGAAAGATCATGGAGAGCTGGAAAGCGTCTCGTTTGGATGCAAAATTTTCAGGCTACAATCCCAACATGTTGATGAAACATTGATAGGGCTCCAAGGGATTTGTAGAAAACCGGTTCTCCAAACAAACGCTGGGAAACGTCTAGTGTATATACTTGCACGTGTTGTGTTGTCGGAAAACAAAAGAGCGAATGGAAACAGACTAAAACCTATTTATAGTGTTGTGCTGTAGGGTACATTAGAATGCCTCTAGGTATAAAAGGTACGCTCCATTGGAGGTACATACTCACTTTGTCCAAGTACTACCGTCGCCAAAACCATGCAATACGATCACCGGATGTGAACATTGAGCCATGGTATCTGTAGTGAGCAGTTAAACGTACAAATGACTTAGTCTAGTTACGAATAGATAGATCTCACTCGTATTTTGATCTCCTTCATGGATGATATAATTAGCATTTATTTCATATTTGGTTTGATTAACAGTGATATAAATACGAGTAGTTTTCATTTTAGAGAAAAATAAAGAACGTTCGGTCTCGGTGAATATTGGGTAAGCAAATAATTCGGTAGCTGTTGATGAAAGATCTTGGCTGTCTTTTCTCTCATATTGAACATTAAATACTAACGTACAGATGTAGTTGGCGTTAAGTCAAAATAGTGTGCAAATACTTACACTTCGCTCTTGGATTCTGGCCCGGTTCACTGTAAGCATAATTAAACGGTCTTGTTATGCTGTTTTCAACTGATAGTTGGTCCAGTATTTTGTCGGTTGCTGTCGAAATACTATGTTCTTTTCTTATAGGATATTTCTTTAGAACTGAGGATTTAATATGGGTTGTTGAATGCAGATTATTTGAAGTGGACAGTCCTCTAGCCTTTGTGTTATTTCTTGCAAAGGTACTAGGTTTCAACATTCCATTATTCTTTTTAGTATCATTTTTCTTGGTAACACTAACCGACTTCACATTTAACGGCGGAAGCTGATTCACTGAAATGCATTTGAAGTTTAACTAATTTTAGAGTTCTCTTGCATGATTTTACTACTAGAGTGATGTTTAGATAGCAGACTCTAGGATTAAGAGACAAAGTTTGCATAAACTAACTAATACTACTGACTTGTGATTTATACGTTTTAGTCTTTATGCAGGTTTTATTGTTAATAATGATGTGTTATGTTTTAATAATGATCGTAAAATATACTTGCCAACTCATATAAAATATAATATTTATATAAAATTTTTTCTTTTTCTTCTTATCTTATATTGCACAGGTGTTTTGCATGTTTAAACGATGATTCAGCAGCAAACGAGTCACATATACTCTATCAGAAAGAAAAAAGATTGTCAGATTCTGATGAATGCACCTTAGCCATCTATTCACTGTCAAAAGCTGCACACAAACAAGACTATCTATTATATTTAAGCACAGTTTCATATGGCTATGAAACAATTTTACCTACATAGCAAATCAGGCTTATTTTTTGGGGGGCGGTTTAGAGAAAACAGCATACGTATTCTGATTCCTTTTTGCATGCAGATTCCAAATCTGATGTTTGTTTTCTGGTGAAACGTCTAGTTTTTGAAAAAGAAGCGAGAAACCGTTTTTACGTTGAAAATTAGGTATTTTTCTCCTTTTCCGTTTCTCTCTCTTTCTGTTTGTTTCACCATTTTCATGATGAACGGAGAGAATGAGGAAGAGAATATACACCTATATCTTCTACAGCTATTTTGGAATAAATGTGTTTTGATCCCCAAAAAAGTGGATTTTGATCCCCAAATTTATTAACAGTGAAATGATCCCCAAAAAATAAGACTTTTGATCCCCAAATCAATTAAAGATATTTAAATTAAAGAAAATATATACAAGAATATATAGCAATTTAATAGAAAATTGATTGCTAATTAATTAGTGGACAGACAAGAAAAAGATTATAAAGAGAATATATACAAGAAGTGAACATAAATATGAACAGAATATGAAAGAAATATGATATATGTCAACAGTTGACGGTTTTCGAAACTGTCAACGATTAAGTTTTTGAAAATTTCATTGGTTTTGTCAACTCACCAGAGCTATAAATACCTGCCCTATACTAGAAACATTTCGAGGGTTCACTAATTCTTGAAGAGAACATTCATCTTAACTGAACCTTTCAGGGTATGCTTAGAATTATGATCCTTATTCATTGAGAAAGTGTATGATTCCACTGTGCTCGAGATATGTAGGCCGAGATAAAAAGACTCACTCAATCGGTTACAACTCGAGAAGAGAGAACCAAAAACCCAGACTCTTCTAGGGTTATACTGGTGTACCCTCCCTTGCCCTGTGATCTATTTTTTGTTTCCTCTATCGAAACTGTGTGTGATGGAGACTTTCTGTAAAAGGGGTCTGTGTTTAAAGGGGAGACTAAACTTTCTCTCTATATACTTCAACACTCATTAACAATTGTGTTCTACAAATAACTTCGCTTAGAGCTAGATCTTGATATAAATATCATTCTCCTATGTAGTTCATCAGGCTATCTGCGCTTTTTCTCTATACAAGTGGCACCGTGGTGATTAGTTTTTTCTACTCTGTTCATATTTCTTGTTGTATATATATTCTTCTTCTATATACTGTTGACTAATTAATTTTCTATTAAATTGCTATATATTCTTGTATATATTTTCTTTAATTTAAATATCTTTAATTGATTTGGGGATCAAAAGTCTTATTTTTTGGGGATCATTTCACTGTTAATAAATTTGGGGATCAAAAAAATTGATACCCGCTATTTTCTTCAAACATTGACAAAGAAAACAAGTTTCGTAACTATAAACGAAAACAAATTGCTTTCAGGATAAAGCAAGCATAAATGTTTCCATTGCACAGCTTCACATATGGCCGGATTTGGAAAATACTCGGCGTTTGATTCGGCGAGGGATGCCGGAACATTGAATCAACAACACCAGGGAAATTGGAAAAACGAAACCGGGCTTTGGATATTAGCACGAACCTCTTTTCCATAGAAAAGTACAGTAAGGAAATATACTCATCACAGATTTATTGATTTGTTATTATACTAAGCATTATCGAGTCTATTATACTTGCGTCCGGTTTGGAAGAAACCGGTATATGTATTCTGATTCAGTTTCTTATGTAGATTTCGAATCCGGCGTCTGTTTTTAGGTGCAAAGTCTCGTTTTCGAGAAATAGAGGAAAAACTGGTTTTATGTGGGAATTAACGCCTTTTATTGCTTTCTCTCTTTTTTTTCGTTCGGAATACATGTTTTTCTTTCCACTTTCTCTTTTCGTACTTTATCCTAGTGAACGAACAGAAGGAGAAAAAGAATATCCATCTATAGCTTGTATCGAGCACTGCTATTATTCCATATAGTTCTTCAAAGCTGCACCGATATAAAATATCAATTTTATTGAATCCGACAGAAAAAAGGAAGACTTAAATGTTAAGTTAACTGAATGACTCAGTTAATTTAACATTTAACCTTCTGTAAGTATATAAAGTTCAATAACTGACCAATGATGTTGTTTTACTTTGGAGAACAAGCACGTCGACGTTTATCAAGTAAAGCTAAATCTGTTCAATTAACGAAATTTCAGTTCACCTTTTCGTGCATTCACGAAGACAGCATACATTATTTACTACCCAATCAGGCCTTCTGAACATTTAGATATTTTTATTGTATGAAGAACTTCACAGGTTTTGAACTTCAAATGCAACGTTGAATGTGGTGTAGAAGACGCACAAGGTTAGGAACCTTTTCACCTTGTAATGATATTTCAGCTCTCTACTTGTTATAATAATTCCATTACAACTTTTAAAGCTCACGAAGAAATCTATCCAAATGATATCTTCCGACTTCGTTCGTTCATACGTCGATCGATAGAGGGTACCGAGCTAGTAAAAAGCCTTAAAGGATTTTTCCCCATGACTCTTCAGGGCTGAGTTTACAGGAAAACCAGTTTTTCAGAAACGCTAGAACAATAACCAAAACCTTGCTTAATAAGGCATGATTGTAGCTCGCAAGTTTCTGATTAAAATGAGACATCTACCACCACTACATGACCTTTCTTTGCACAGTTATAGAATTTACAAGAAAAGTCCTAAATGTTCATTGTCATATCAAAGCAAGAGAAATAAGAAGAAAATAATGTAGAGCTTTTCTGGTAAATTCTATAACTTTGCAAAGAAAGGGCGTGTAGAGCTGGGAGATGTCTCATTTTAATCAGAAATGTGCGGGCTACAATTACACCGTATTAAGAAAAGTTTTGATTATTGTTTTAGCGTTTCTGGAAAACTGGTTTTCTTGAAAATCCAGTCCTGAAGAGTCATGGAGAAAATCCTTGAAGGCTTTTTCGTAGCTAGATACTCTCTATCGATCAACGTATGAACGAACAAAATCGAAAGATATCACTTGGATAGGTTTCCTCGTTAGTCAGAGTCCTAAAAATTTAAATAACATTATATTCATTTTTTTATATTTATCGATAATCGTAATATAATAGACAGCAGCTGCCTTGTGATTTCATTTTCAATCTTTTATGACATAAAACGATAGAATAAATACAGTATGGCATTAATGCCTTTTTGTAGTTCGTGATAATATTCGAGCACGTTTCTATTTATTCAAAATGTACAGATATAAAATGGAATTTTATTAAGAATTCACTTTAGATAGGATAATAATGTATATATATGCTGTACCTTATCAAATACTTTTAGATTAGGTAAGATCAGGAAAGTCAAGAGACGCATCGTTTTACTCAATCCATCTTTTAATCCTTGACAGCTGTTCTCAATTTTGGACTCCATGGCTGCTCAGGGGTCCGGTTTGACGCACACGGGAACGTATGAAGTTCAAGCTTTTTACCATTTGATTGAAGCTTTGATCAATGGTCTATATCATACTCCTTCTAGGTGGTGATGCTGATGCAGGGTATGTAAATGTATATTATTTAGAAGACATTTTTGGGAACGGTTTTCTAATTAGGTATGCACCAATTTATAACTAGTGTTGGCATCCGGGAAAATTTCTATACATCGGTTATCAAGATTCGCTCATAGCTGGAACGTCTCAATTTGTAGAAAAATGTTTGCTCTACCAAAACGACGACAGAGGGCAGCTCTAACACGGCTGGAAATCGTAAATATAACACCATGGTTGTTATCGGGTCTGAGCGGATCTACACTCCAGTTTTTTGTCTGTAAGAGTCATTCACGAGACTTGATATAGATAGTGTGCGCGAATAGAAGATTGACGATTAGGAAAGAGAGCAGCTCGAAAGAAATGAATACTAGCGAGTAACAAAAACAAAACTGCACAATGGGTCCAACTGGAACCCCAAACAGCTGCCAAGGGTTAAATACTCATACCATCATTCCTTAATAAAACATTTTTACCCGTTAACAATATTCGAAAGATTTATCAGTAAATAATTGCAAGTCAAGGCTGGCGAAGTACAGGATGACAGAGAATTTCAAGCGCTAACAGAATATATATTACTTTTATAAAAAGTTATTTCTGTATTCATAATAAATTTGAAAACACGACTGAAAAAGAAATAAAAAAGGTAGTTCGTAGGAATCTGAGAATGAGGGTGCCTTCATTATATTCGAAATATTTTTCAACAAATAAGTGCAAGTCAAGACATAAGTATACAGGATGATAGAGAATTCCGAGCGCTTCCAGAATATATAATTACTTTTCGAAAAATATATTTTCATATATATAATAAATTTAAAAAATCGACTGAAAATATTTATTTTTAAGCAGATATATAAATACTTATTTGTATAATTACAGATAAATAAGAAAGTGCTCACCTTCTTTCGCAATATAAATCGTACACATGTATCAGAAACTAACTAATCACCTGTACAACTTACCTGTACACACACACAATAGAAAGTAGTAAAAATTTAGGATGAAAAGAAAAAGAAAGTAATCATGCAATATTATCATGAAAGGTAGTAGGATATGCAGTTAAAGGGTAATGCTTTCTTTGTTATTGAGAAAAGCACAAATGAATATAATAGTCGAATATACAGAATTGTTGTATTTAGATAAAAAATACAATCCTTCATATAGATTTTCGCCCAACGTTTCCAGTTTGTAGAGGATACTTCGAGGTACATGTCCTAAAGTTTTCTCGGCTTACTGACATTATTTGGCTGAGAAAAAAATTAATTACTTTAAAAAATATTGTTAAGTTTTTGAACAAGGGACTATTATTAAAAGAATTCCTGTCCATTCTCCATTCATCATAAAAACTTGGTTCTTGTCTGGATCGCTAGAGAAATGTATGAAGAATATTTACTACTAGAAAATATGTAAACATTTTTGTTCTTTCCTTCCTGTTATTGACTGACTAATTAGCACTAATTAACGTTGATTTAGCCTACTCTACTAGCTTACAGTCTCATTTGCAAAATTCAATAAAATAATTTAAGCTCTACCTCATCTGACAGAGAATTTCACGTGCTACAAGACTGGCTAGCTTAGGAGTTTTAGAATTCAATTCATTCATTAGAATTCTTTTATAACAGTCTCGTGCTCAAAAATTAAACAATATTTTTTTTAAGTAATTAATTTTTTTCTCAACCAAGCAATGTCTGTAAGCCGAAAAAACTTTAGAACATATACTTTGAAGTATCCTCTACAAACTGAGAGAATTTAACAAAAAAATTCAAAACTAAAAAATTTCTCTAACTTTTAGCTAAGCGAAAATATTTTCACAACACCTTGCACCAAATTTCGCTCAAAAGAAGCATTTTCAAGGGAAAGTGTGGGTAGAAAGTTGTTCAAAATCAGATTCCCTGAACTACGAAGGAAGGATTTTTCAAAATTCGTTAAACCAGATTTTTAAATTAAATTTTACTAAATTTTAAACTTTTAAAAGCCGTATTTTTCAATGTAAAAATCGAGTTTAATGAATTTTGAAAAATCCTTCGTTCACATTCCAGGGAATCTGATTCTGAACAACTTTCTACCCACACTTTTCCTTGAAAATGCTTCCTTCTAGAGAAATTTGGTTCAAGATGTTTTTAAAAATACTTCTTGCTCCAAAATGTCATCGAGCAAGTCAGAGCCTGACCGAATTTTTTGTAGATACATCTTGATGTCCTCTATCGATTGACATGAAAACCGAGGTTATATATAGAAATCTGAAAATTTTATTAAACTTTTTAAAAATGAAGGCAAAAAAACCGAGACTAAACTTAAAAAATTATTTTTTGAAAAATAACAGATCCGGTAACCGAAAAAGTATTGAAATATATACTTCAAAGTGTCCTCTGCAAACTGATAGGACAAACTGAGTGAGGGAATTTTACATTTTAAGAAGCACTATAAAACATATAAGTTCACACACATTCTCTGCTGAATAATATGTCAAAACTAATCTGAGCTTCTTATGTAGTGAATAAAGGTATTGTTACTTGATCATCAATCAAATGATATCGAGAAAAAATCCGAAAAGAACGCGAGATATATCGATAATAAAAATTTCGCTCAAATTGACCGTATTTTATTTTACTACACACATCTAATTGGTCTTTTGCTATTGTCAGCAAAAAACAGAACGGACTCGAGTGTTTTTTTGAATAATTTTTGACAAGAAAATGATAGAGACTTCCGATTTTCACTAATTGAAAGCCAAAACAGGATCTGGTTAATTTTGGTTGCTATTTATACGATCGAAAAATTGCAAAAGATATTTTTGTTCACAGATTTTTTAGAAACTCTTTCGGAAAATCATAGGGTCTGTCATTTTTTTTTCTAGATTTCTTATAAATAGAATGTAGAATAAGCTAAATTTTCTGCATTCTGAAATTCTGAAGTTAATCTGATGCTTTTTAAGTGAATTGTAAATTTTTTAATATTAGATGAAAACAGTCTGGAAACTGCAGTTTTTGTAAAATCCAGTTTTCACCAGATTTTTTGGTTCTTAACCAGAAACAAGCATTGCCACTAGATTCAGTGTGATCGATTACGTATGCCCCATGCGGTTTCAAGGCTACGCTAAGTCACCAGATGCTAGTTCTTAGACTGTAAGAAAATCCAATACCTCGCCAGAATCAATGCAACGCTTGACTCCCATATTGAAGAGGATACTCTGAGTTATCTACCCATGTAAAACAATTAAAATATTTATATTTCAAGTTTTTGGATGATGATCTGGTTTTCCAAAGATGTTCTACTTTGAAAAAAGAGATTCAAAATGACTTCACTGATGAAAAGATGCAGTCAGGTTTTGGCTTTTAGTTAGTGAAAATCAGAAGTCTCTGTCACTTTCTGGTCAAACGTTATTAAAAAAATACTCGAGTCCATTATTATTTTTACAGACAATAGTTCATTGTTGAGTGTTTATTTGTCAAAGGGTTCATTTCATGTTCAGTTCATAAATAGCATCAGGACTTGGAATTTTCAACATATTATTTGTAGACTCTATATGTTTTACTCATACAGACTTCGACTACATAGTGTAAAAAATCACAGTCTTGAGTAATCTATTCTCTTTCGTCAATAAAGAATCAAAATTAGCAGCAATATATTTTTTTTTGTTTTCTTATAGCAAATTACATGCACATAAACTATTCAATGATATTATGAACAGTATAGAAAATTTTCTTAGTATTTTATATTCATGTCGTTTCAAGTATGGTAAACTCATCTTATTAGTTTTCATCGTTCTTTTGCTATGTATAATCTATTATATCGTTAAATATAAACAAGAAAACAATGTATTAAGTCCTGTTTTCACTTTTAATTATTCATCTCGTCCTTTTATGTTTGAGGGTTTCGATAATAATACCGGCGTCGATTATTTTCTCGTACCCAACATTATTCACTATATACGTTGGAATAAAACAACATTTGATTTTGTCGATATTGTTTGTATACGTTCTGCCTATCTAGCACAAAAACCGGATAAAATATATATACATACGAATACACCAAATTTTAATGGTAAATATTGGAGACAATTGAAAACAAAATGGCCAGATTTATATCGACGAATTGAAATTACATTAAATATACCACCAACATCAATTTGGGGACAAAATTTTAGTTCAGAGTGGCATTTGTATCATGCTAGTGATGTTGAGCGAGTCAAAATCTTGATGAAATATGGTGGTATTTTTGTCGATAATGATCTTTATGTAGTTCGAAATTTAGATAAATTTCGACATTTTGAAATGACACTTAGTTGGATGGAAAACGATCCGAGTCTTGGCACAATGATCTATATAGCAAATAAACAAGCACGCTTTCTTCCACTGTACATTGACACTTATCGTGAATATAATGGATCACATTGGTATTGGAATGCGGGTACTAAACCAGTGTCAGATATTTTGTTAAAACGACCTGAATTGATTCATCGTGTCAAAGAATTATTTGGAACAGAAACAGATATCGCATATGATTTGTATACACAATATTGGCCTAGATGGAAAATATATTATTCTATACATTTGTGTATTCATCATCGAATTTATATGTTCGAGAAAGAGTATAAAGAATTTCCAGTGTTTAATGAGAATACTATCTTGCATTATAATTATACGTTCGGTGAGATGGCACGATTGGCATATTTTGGCAAATCATAGGTCTATATAATAGTTTTATGTGATACACCCTATCAATGATAATGATTTATTTTTGACCCCGTAGTTTACGTTTCAATCCGAATTATTTCTACTAAATTTTTTTAAAACTTTAACAAAGACCGTCGTATGATATTTTTGAGAAAATCAGAGCGTACGTTTATAGTGTCATACAATGGATTAATTCATGTGAGTTACTCCTCCCTGATCACGCCTATTCTTACATGAATATAAGTGTGTTCTATTCCATCTGTTATTGGCAAGCTGTTGAAGCCTAATAGAGTTTTCAGGATTGTGAGGTTCAAAATGCAAAGAATTAGCCATCTGATGGTGATGTAAAGTCCACTATAAAGACTCATTGAGAGGAACTAATATACCAGTAAAAGAAAATTCTTTTTACCATCCGTTAATTGGGATCAAAATTCAAAACTGAATTTGTTACAGAGTACTCCTCGCGCTCTTTGCTATTAACACTTTCGATTTTCTAGTTACATATGTCGCAATATATAGTTAAATACCCTCTATAAAATGAGACATCGTTTAGCTCTCTGTGATCTTTTTTTTTGGAGTTATGCATTTTTTAAGATTGACCACTGAAGATCCTAACGGGTGGCGCATAATGAATGGCATACTTTGTATTTTCTCTATAACTTTTTTATTTTTCATACTAGACAGTTAAGTTTTTTTTTAAATGATTCACTGTTTAATTCTCTACAAAACTATGTACTTAGTTTTGTTTAATGTATTTTTAATTTATTGTTAGATAATGAAAAGTAAAGATATACAAAAACTCGTACTTTCTAAGTACCAAAATGGTGATGGTCCATCGAAGATATTTCGTGATATAAAAGGTGCTATTGGGTTTCGTACA